CCCCCCCCCTCCCCCCCGCCTAACTTTTCCCGGGCCGGGCCTCGGGGTGAAAGATGGAGGTGTTCCTTTTTGTGGGGACCGGGCATTGCAGTCTTGCTCCGAGGGTGTGGCGCTCCGGGCGACCGCCCTCGCCCCACAGTCCCGCGCTGCGCCCCACCTATCCGCTCCCGGGCACGACCCCGGGGGGCACGTCCGGCTCTTGGTACCCTGGTGCCCCTCGCCCTCCGCCCAGCCTCCTCTCAGCTCGGGCGCTGGTCTAAGCGTGCGGAGAAGGGTGTGAGAGCCCCCGGAGGGGCTCTACGGCGCCGGAGCGCCGGGAAGAGACTCACTTGTCCGGTTCCCGGGAAGAGCAGAGCGCAGGCCCAGCGCGCGACTCCGCCTCGGAGGTCCAACTGATCGGTCCGCACCCGGGTGGGTGGCGGTCGTGCCTTATCTATTCCGTGTGCTCTCGGTGGAACGAGAAAACAGCTTTGCTCCTGGAAAGTTACGGCCCAGAACACAATCGTGGGACTGGGAGATCGTGCTTTCCTATCAGATTTGTGCGTGCCCAAGTATCTTGCCCCAGCCTGGCTGGAAGCTCGCGGCCGATCGGTCTCCCGGGTTGCAGAGCATCCTGGGTGGCTGCTGGTGGCCTGCTGGGGACTCCGAGGTGTGCTCCGATGAGTCCAAACCCAGGCGCATGCGCACGCCTCCTAGCCCCTGCTTATGCTGGTCCCTCCGCCCGGGGTACCCTTCTCCCCCTTTCACCTGGTGAAAGCATTCTTCAAGCACCAGATTGGGAAGACTTCCAAGGCCCTCAGGTAGCATAAACTTCTCCCTCCTCAGGTGTAATCCTGGAGCATGGACTACATACCTCTGTTAGTGCACATCTCTTCCCTCCATTAGACGGTCCGGCCCCTTGAGGGCAGTGATCACCTGTTGTATTTGGCTCGATTCGCCATAGGTAAGTGTTCCCAGGAGAACAACCATAATAACCATCATGCGGCATATAATATGCATATTCTTGACAATGTGTATTTGTAGGTACAATAACAGTCATGCTAGCTCATACACACTGAGCACCTCGGTGGGTGCCTCGTCCCCGTTGTAAGATAATTCTGTAAGATCAACAGTATCGTTGTCCCCATTTTACAGAAGAAAGATGCAAAACCTAGAGGGAGGTTGAGTGAGTGGCTCAAATCACACAGTAGGGGATGAGGCCAGCTACGGTCTGGTGGATGACCTTGTCCCACAAAGCCTGGCCTCGCTGCCTGGGACACTCGAGGCACTCAGGAAATGCCACCACCACTCTCGATGCAGACCTTGGGTAGGGCGGGGAGGGGATGCCTGTGTTTCGAAAGAAGCCTCTCGGGCACTGCGGGAAGCTAATTGCGTAGCCCAATAAGATTGTCAGATCACACAGAGAGCCTGGGGTTAGAAGGCCTTGACGGCTCAGCCGCCACTCTCTCAAACCCAGGGAGGTTCTAGACCAATCCCGACCACCTCATCAAGGACACGGGGCTTGGTGTCGAGTCACACATGTCTGGGGAAGACTGGCCATCGCAGAACGACTGCAGTGTGGGCAGGGGGTCTGGAAAACGACTTGTCAGTAATATCAACAGCCGCCCCTACGTGCCAGGTAGTGTGCAAAGCACGAGGCCTGCCTTATCGTACGGAATCCTTACCCCAGTCTCAACGTCATCCCCATTTAACGGGTAAGAAAAATCGAGGCCCCAGAACGTTCGGCGACCTACCCAAGACCACACCACTACGTGTGACTTGAAGACGGAGACGAACCCGAACCCAGACCTGACAAGTCCCAAGCCTGTGCTCCTCTGCCTGCCACACCCTCTTGGCTGCCTCCGAGCCTCCCCCCACCAGGCTGCGGTGGGGATGCTACCCCACCGAGAGCCTGGGCGACGGGGCCCCCACAGGAAAGGCAGAACCTGTCACGTCAGAGTCTCCGGGCTCACGGAGATGCACCTGGTTGGCAACAGTGTGCCAGTTGCCCCGACAGGCCTGGCTGGCACAGGGCACGGGCCCGAAGCCAGAGCCTGCTGGCCCTGGGCCAGCCTCTTGGGGCCGAGTAATGTGGGGCCCAGAGCTGGGGGAGAGGGCTGAAAGCCTCTCTCCCCAGCTCATTAGCAAACATCTGGGCTCAAGAAAATGACCGACCTGGAATGTGACTGGGGTGTGGGGAGCTGCTCCCTCCCTGAGTCCCGGGAATGTGAGCTCCCTCCCGCAGGGCACGGGCTCGGGCCAGCTGTTTCCTCTAATCCCGTCAGCCTGGCCTCGACAGGGGTGCAAACCTCTGCACTCTCCTGGAGAGTGAAAACAAGCACAAGGCCTTCCTTCCCAGTCCTGCCCACTCAAGAGGGTTGGTACTGGGGCCCGGGAGGAGCAAGGTCCCTCCCTTTTCTAGGAGATAAAGACCAAGCGCGTCCACACTTCCACATTTGCAGCTGGGAGGGGCCGCTAGGGCTCATCGAGGAAGCTGCTGGAGCCTTCCTGCTGGAGTCGGACTCCTTGCTCCATCACCCGTGGACTCTGGGGCTCTGGGCAAGCTGTTTCCTGCCTGGACCTCGGTTTCCTTCTCCGTAAAACGCAGCTCATGGTACTCTGTAGAGTTGTTGTCAGGACTCATTTATTTAACAAAGATTTATCGGGCCTACTGTGTGCCACACAGGCACAGACGTGTCGAGGACACTGCAGCCCTTGAGACGCCTGTGATGTGCAACAGGGAGCGGAGACAAGTAAGCGGATGAAGGGGTTTCTCATAATCAAGGAACTCAGCAAGCGGGGGGGGGGGGGGGGGGGGGGATGGGATGGGAGAAGCCTCAGAAGATGGCTCAGAGGTGCCGTTTAAGGTACGATTGTGATGTGAGGGAGCCAGGACTCAAGGAGATAAATGGATGCAAAGTGCTGGCACAGTTGCCAGAAAACAGCACGTGCTCCAGACAATTGAAGGCTATTTTAGGCAGGTTCGTATACAGCGGAGGGAAGGCGGGGGTCAGGGTCCCTGGACCGCATCTAGGCTTTCGCACAAAGCTTCCCCACCTTAACTCAACTAATGCACTTCCTGAGCCTCGGTTTCATCATCTGTGACATAGGAATCTTCACAGTACCCAACTGCAGGCTTATCGGGGGCCACGCACATGATGCACAGAGCCTGGCAGGTGCTCCCCCCCTCAGGAAGCGGTGGCTGCTAACATTGTACTACCCTCTCCCCTGGAGGAAAAGGACTTGCCTAAGTCTGCCCAGTGAGTCAGCAGCAGGTGCGGGAGCAGAATCAGGTATTCTGACTCTGAGCCCATCCCCTGGGCTGTGTCCTCCTGCCTCCTCATCCTCCTCCTGTCCGTGGAGGCTCAGGAAGCCTCTGAGCCCCATCTTGGGCTCAAAGAAAGCTCAGAGAAGGCCCAGGGGAGGGCCCTTGACCTCCACGGAATCCAAATTTGAACTACCCTTTGTAGGCAGGGGTGGGAGGCCGAGAATCAAAACGAGGGATCAAGTGCTGAGAATGGGGGAGGT